AGAAGCTTAAAATAACTGTAAATTTTTCAAATGCCAGAATCTTTGACAAATATTTTAAACATTTAGTTAATTTATTCAGTATTTCATATGGTAAAACTTATTTCATGGCAGTAAACGGAAACCTTATTTGCAGTCAGTGTGTATCCAAACCTCTGTTCCCCATAATTTGAAAGGCTATGAGAGTACAGCTTTAGAGATGCATTTTAAGTATCTTCCATCCAAAATGTTATCAGTCCTGTTCCTTCCTCCCCAAACGATATCCAAAAAAAGGGGGAAAATGATCCAAAGGACATCAGTGTATCACTGCATTTCCAAAGTGAAAAAAAAACTGCAGAAAGTGGAAAATGATAAAATTTCAAGTAGCTTCAATATATATTGTAGAAATCATTCTATTAGAAGTTTTACCCCATCCCTAAAAAGGCTTATCAATTTACGTTACCATAATGACAATCCCTAGAGTCTTCCTACAAATACAAAAAATTCCCCCCCAAGCACACCCCCCAAGAGGAGGTAGGAGGGAAAAGGACAGAAGAGGGGACCTGGTATATGTTCTTTTATTTAACTGAATGGTTTTATCAGGTAATATTTGACAAGACACCAATACTGCAATTTCCTTATAGGTACCACACACTGACTTTCAAAGACTTTTTTTTTTTAAAGGCCATTTTTAAAAGGACAAAATACCGAGACAAGGAGAAGGCTGAACCAACCTTTTCAAACACAAGAGTGTACAAACAATACAAGGCTTAGGAGAAAGGCGTTTTTTTTTCCGCAAAGATATGCTGCATAACCATGTTCTTACCACACAGCTCTGAATGCAAGTTCTATATTAGGGCACATCTCTATAGAAATTTATAATTAGGACACCAAGAAATAGTTTTTGAACATAGATGTAAATTCCGTAATTGAGAATACCAAAATGTTTTTTATCCATGATCATTTTTTTCAAACAGGCTACTTTAAAGGAAAGAAAAAAAATCCATTCAAGAAGTTTCATTTTACTTTTACTTATGGTTGAATACACAGGAAATGTGCTTTCAATGCATAAAAATCACAGTGGATAGCAGCAAAGGACTTGGGGGAAATTAAGGAGAATTTGATCATTCACATTGTGATTAATCTGCACATTGATGAAAGATAGCTATTTCACACTTCTAAAAAATAAACTTGAGATCATTCTTTCAAAAAACAAAAAAAAGCCCCCCAAAATACACAAAAAATCCCAAAACAAACATAAAACCAAATGCATTACTTTTCTTTTACACACAAAAATGAAATATTTTTATGGAAGAAAAAGATTTTGATAATAATGAAAGTCTGTAAACTGTAATTCAATCTCTTTTTGTTGTTGTCATTCCCAAAGTGCAAGATGCAAGATTCCCATAAGCTTTCAGTAGTGCTTTTCCTGTAAATAATCCTTCATTTTGTTTGGCAAAGGCAGTTTCTGAATCAGGTCTATTCTGGTGTACTGACGTATTACAAAACGACACAGGTATTGCAAAGAACGCACCTGCATAAACCGAGATACTGGATTTGTCAGTCTCACTGGGTAAGTTGCAGATCCAGGCAGTCGGGATCTCGAATAGCAGAAAGCTCCATTTTCAGAGTCCCTGATTGAATGTTCAATTAAGTCAACTATAGATGTATGTCCCTCCACATCTGGTTGTTCATAAAAGCTAAACCTACCATTTGAGTGTTCAATTCTAGTGTGAAGAGTTTTTCCATGGGAACGAAAACTCAAACTTAAAAGATAACGATCATCAGAACTGTCTCGAACAAGAAACGAGCCATCAGGCACATTAGCTAATTTTCCCTCTGCCTCCCAACGTGTAATGGGGCCCCAGTACCATCCTTGTTTTGCAAGTTTTTTCAGTTCTTCTGTGAGACTTGTCACAACCATAGGACCACTGTTCTGTACAGAATCATAAACTCTTCCAACTCCAGGGGCAGTGTTAGGATCAAAATTCAAATGGCAGCGCATACTTTCAGCCACGTGGGCATCTGTGCCATTCAATCCATTGAAGTTCCTTTGGATTTGATTATTCTGCATTGGAGGTAGCAAAGGTGAGAGTGGAGGGACATCACCGTGATTAACTCTTGGGCTTTGCAACATGACTCCTGTGGTACCAATCAACAAACCATTCACTGTCTGGTCCACGAAGATATCCGGTGCAACGACTACATCCTGATCCACTTGGCTCTCTTCTTCATGGAAAGCACTTCCCCCCACTTGAGAAGAAACAGTTGAAACTTCCATGGGTGAGGAACTATCCAGACAGTAACTACGTGATCCTTCCAAAGGATACATTCCCTCATCTAAAGGCACAGTATACTGAATGTAGTCCTGAGGCATTAATCCAATAACTACAGGCACATGTTCATCAATATGAAGATGCAAGTCCCCATTCTGAGATTCCGTGTTTTTTAATGTGTTGTTTTGCTCCTGGAACACGTTGTCTGACTGCAAGTCATGGAAGTCCTTTCGAACGCCATTCAGTGCTGGGCTTGGATTAGAGGAATGGACCAAGGCCTTGACTTTCACTTCCATTTTGATGCAAGTCTCTTCTGAATTTGTAGGTCGAAGGGGCCATGGAGTTGGACTGTAATGGTGATTACGGAGGGAAGTGGATCTCAGAGGTCTCTGAGCTCGCACATCTTTGAAGGTTATTGGAGCAGATGAGGAAGAAAAGGTGTCATCATCTGCAGAGCTTACAGATGGTGTGCTGCCTTTGCCTTTCTGTTTTTGTTTTGCTGAAAGCCTCCTTTTTAACGTACCCATTAAGCTTTCACTTTTTGATCTATTTTTGCCTCCTTTTTCATCTTCACTGTTGACTTCACAGCTAGCCAAATCTTTACCATAGCAGCTGCCAAACAAGGAGTCATCTTTTCCAAATTCACTTAACGATGGCTGCTTAACCACTACAAAGTCGCTTTCATCTTTACTTTTATTTAAGTTAAAGGACTTCCGAATTGTTTTGAGACTAATTTTCTTCATTATGACAAGTTACCAAGTCTGGCTGATCAGCAGTGCTTGTGGTGATACAGCCCTAACACATGCAGAGCAGCTTCTGCTTCATTTATATGTTTTATCCAGCCTCATTTAATTTCATGAGCCATTTCCTGGAAATAAATAAAAAACAATTAACTTCACAAAAGCAGTATTTTGAAAATTATCCATAAGGGTTTCCCCCTCTCCAAACAAAACAGAAATTGCAGTACTTAAGTAACAGGCATCAAATAAAAGTAAATACAGAGAGCTGACTTGGAAACCAATCAGGCTCAAAAAATGAATCTGCTACTTCTGCCTTGGAGATTTCCACAACTTTTTTCTGCTTTCAGCATGCTATTTTTTAAATATACACACATATTACATTACACTTATAGGCACATACATTTAATGCATGTACATAAAATTTTCAAGCCCAGAAACACCCTCTCTTTCAGAAGGCTCCCGAAAAAATCTCCACAAAAATCACTATAGAAGATAAAACTATAGAAGATACTCTATCCAACAGGATGCCTACATAATACAGGTTAAACTGTGATTAGTCCTAAAAACATGGTCTTACAAGGTCATACTTTCTTTACACAGGAAAGTTGAGCAATATTCAAATAGTTACAGAATTATAGGAAAACTAACTGTAGTGAAAAAATACATAGACATTAATAGCAAAATAACATCTGTTTAGAGCAAGTCAAAGAAGTCTCCTCCTGAACTTCTATGAAACAGAAGTTGATTTCCAAACTCTGTTTTAGGCACAGAGGAGGTCAAATCACAGGCTCTCCTTGCTTAGTACTATTAAAGCTTTTCTTCCTCCAGTACTTCTGCCAAGACTAAGTGGTCACGCCTGCTCAAGTCCCAGTCAACTGCTCCCACCTGGTGTCTTCCAGAGTCATGTACGCACCCCCTACATAAATTTAACGTCTGAGCTTGTTTTTTTATGTTTGAGGGGTGATGGGGGGGGG